GTCTTCTCCTTCGTCGTGGTCTCCTTGCAGGTGCGCGGGGGCTTCTTCCACCTCAGGTCCACTATGGCGGACTGTCACCTTCAGAGGCCACCTCTGCTATGGCGCCTCGACCCTGCACACGACTTCGCGCATGGGACAGTGGGTACCTGCTCCGATACCAATGCAATCAGACTCGACTCATTCACACTTTTCATGCACGTGAACAGCAGCACAACAAATTGGCGACATGCGCCCACACAGTACACAGAGATATGGCTTCCAGGTAAGTTCACTTCCACTGGCTATGGCACTGAGCGCCCAACATCCACTGTTCACACACGGGATCACCCTGGATATCCCACACACGACACTCTGCACACTCACACAACACACACACACACCACTATAGCTATGGCAGCGCTAGCTGCCATTACCCTATCGCTTTCTACGCTTCCCTGCCCACTTCGACTTCGGGCACACTGCAGACCTCCCCGCACAAGACGCTGAGGCAGCGTTTCCGCATGGCTTCCGCAGGAATGAATGAATAGCTGGGCGCAGCCTCTTGATTTATACTTCTGTGCCTCGTTGGTCTGCCCTGTTTCCCTGGCCCAGGGTGTACACAATCCCAGACGGTACTTGCTTGACTGGACCGGACTGGCTGGACTGGGACTGCTGACTCTGCGTGGTGGACTTCCACCACTTGCCCACTTGCCTAGACCTACAGTGGGCTGACTTCCGAAAGGCCACTTCTAGAAACCTCTACCTGGCCTTTCGGTACTGTAGCAGCTACGACTTTGACCCTTCGGACAGTCTACAGCTACAACCTCTAGACTGTCTATACTCCTACCCAGACAGGTCTACAGTTTGAATCCCCTATACCCTGTAACCTACGAGATCCTACCTACCACTGGCGGTCCTACAGGTCGCAGGTTCAAATCTACGGGTTGACACAGTTACTGTACACAGGTAAGGTGGGGAACTAGGGATCGAGCCCTGGGATCTGCATCGGCTACTGCGAACTGGTGAATACCGTTTCATCAGACTTAAAAAAAAAAAAAAAAAAAAAAAGAAGGCATGATTTCAAAGGTGTGAAGTGCTCCAGAAAGGTCAAAGCACCAACAGTCTGAGGAGGCAAGCTGAGGCAGGCCAAGGCCAGTCAATGCTGCAAAAGAGCGGCCAGCCCCAGTGACCGATTCTGTCTGCCTTGCATGTGCTGGTGGCCCGAGTGCTTCTGGGCGAGGTAGAGAGAGGGAGTGAGGCTGGTGCCAGACAGAGGAAGACAGGGCCAGCCCAGGAATGAGAGTGAAGGTGGTATCCATAGCAGCGCCATAGCTGCAGCATAGAGGTAGGGTGAGGAAGATGGTGA